CTGCTACCTTTTTTATTCATTTTGGCAGAAACATGTGGGCTGCTCTTGTATTTTATTTCATTTGCTACTTGTCAAATGAAGTGGGTGGCACCCATTTCTAGACTCAACAAAAAGTACTAAGAACTCGAAAAACTGGATCCAAACATCAATAATCCGACTTAAAAGAAATCTGCTATTTTAAATCCTGAAATCGCGCGTTCCGCGGCCGCGGACAAGCTCGCGGGCCGCGGTGAAGGAACTGTCCGCGGCCGCAACTCGTCCCGCGGCCGCGACTTTTCGTCTCTGTCCACTGGTGTCAAGTTTTCGGGTATTCCGCGGCCGCGACTTCCTCCTCCGTGGCCGCGGCGAAGAAAACTGGGGGCTAGAATTTTTTGTACACCGCGGCCACGGGAAAACCGTCGCGGCCGCGGTGAAGGAATTTCTGCACAGAACTCCGTCGGTCCGACATGCATGCCTCCGGACTCGGGGTTTAGTTCCGCCTTTTCCATCTCAACTCGGTCCAAACTCTTAGACAACGATCACCTCGGGGCTGCTTACCGAACCACCTAACCTGCATATTGCCACCACCAAGAAAAACGCAGAAAAACGAGAAAAACAAGCAAGAAAAACCAAAAACGAGAAAAAATAAAGAAAACGCACGACACGACACAAATGGACCAAGAATCAAAGAAAATAACCTAGAATGGGGAAAAATAAATGCAAAATAAACAAGGAAAACACGACAAAAATGGAACGAACAACTCCCCCACACTAAAACCATTGTTCGTCCCGAACAATAAAAAGAAAAGAAAAAAGCAGTAAAACAAGCAAAAGAGAGTGGACATCAGTTTCAAACGAGAAAAGTCTCAAATTGATCAACTAAGTTGAAAAGAATTCCAATGACCTCGAGAACACACCTTGACAATGAACTCAATCACATAGTAACACAAACTCTCTAGAACGGAGATATGATATAAATGCCTCACTCATTTTTTTTACAAAAATAAAAGACAGGAGCACTCAAATTGGTCGTCAGTCAAATTGATCATACGTTTGCCTATTGTCTAACCCCTACTCTAAATCAATCAAATCAATGAGACAGTGGATCAAAAGAACTTTTATGGACGTAATGTAGGCTTAATGGGTCAGGTAAGGTAAATATATGTCAAATGGCGCAAATATAAAATATATAACAACTCAGCACTTCAACCATAATCAACAACTCCTCCGGTCTCAACCGGTTCTCCAACCTTCACCAAAGTCAACACACTTCCACATTATTATCATCATTTTTTTTTTATTTTTTTTAACCTTATGGACATCTTATCTAGGTTTAGCCATCGGGTTTTCTGCCCGAGTCTCCTAGACCGGTTTCCCGTACTCATTGCTCGTGACCGGTAAACGGTTAGAGCACTTAGAGTATAATCCGTTCTTTTTCTTCTCTTTTTTTTTTATTTTTTATTATTATGAACAACTTCGATAATCATCACCATCTATTTTTCAAACATTATCAACACGGGGTCAACAACGAAAATAAGAAGTAAGGCTCAAAGGGGTGACTAGCGAAAATTATTCTCGAAAGAAGAAAAAAAAAAGGATACACAAATAGCAAATAATGCCTTAATCATGTTCACCTATCACAATCCAATCAACTTATTTCGCAGCAGACTCAAGGCAAGTTCTGATTTATTCAACATTCAGACCAATATCTTACAAGAAATGAATATGGCTCAAATCTCACCGGGTGTATATGTATGAGTGTTAGTCAAAGCAATCGAGCCACAAATCAAAATATGCTACTCAAGATCATCATCACAACTTCCCAACATCATTAAACAACAATAAATCAATCTCAAAATTCACCAATGTCCATCTCAAAAGAACAAATAAACCTAAACTAGACTGGTCCACGCAACAGAAAAGAAACGAAAAAAAACAACCCTAAAAAGAAAAACTAGACATGGTTTACCACATAGTTACGCAAGCACGTAACCTCCCCCACACTTAAAATCAGACAATGTCCCCATTGTCGATTCGCAGTGAAAGAGAGTAGACCATATAATTAACCGACACTAAAAGCGCAAACTATACAAAAATAAAAGAGNTTATTAAAGTAAAACTACAATCATTCATGTCCAACGAAGCATTAACACTGTGAGTCCGGAGGTGGTCGTGGCGGTTAGGGCTGACTGGCTCCGGAGTTTCAACGGGTGTCCCACTGGGTGAACATCTGATCCCAACTGTCCATGCGAGTATCCTGCTGGTCCTGTCGCTCGCGAATGGACCGGAGACCGTCAGTGACGTCGTGGAAATGTGAGCCCATCTGAGTCGAAAGGGTCTGCTGCTG